TGACGGTGGTGGTGATCTTCAGGATACTCATTGTGGCCATTGTAGGGGAGACGGTGTACGATGACGAGCAAACGATGTTTGTCTGTAACACTCTGCAGCCAGGCTGCAACCAGGCTTGTTACGACCAGGCTTTCCCTATTTCGCATATAAGGTACTGGGTGTTCCAGATCATCATGGTGTGCACTCCCAGCCTTTGCTTCATAACGTACTCCGTTCACCAGTCTGCTAAGCAGAGGGAACGGAGGTACTCCACTGTCTTCCTCACCTTGGAGAGGGACCAGGATTCAATGAAGCGTGAGGACAGTAAGAAAATCAAGAACACGATTGTCAATGGGGTGCTGCAGAACACTGAGAACTCCACCAAAGAGGCAGAACCCGACTGCTTAGAAGTGAAGGAAATCCCCAACCCTGCTATCAGAACTACAAAGTCAAAGATGAGGAGGCAAGAAGGCATTTCTCGATTTTATATCATCCAAGTGGTCTTTCGAAATGCCCTAGAGATTGGATTCTTAGTGGGACAGTATTTTCTGTATGGATTCAATGTCCCTTCCATGTACGAATGTGACAGATACCCTTGCATTAAAGAAGTAGAGTGCTATGTCTCTAGACCCACTGAGAAGACTGTATTCTTGGTATTCATGTTTGCTGTCAGTGGGATTTGTGTGGTGCTCAATTTGGCAGAACTGAACCACTTGGGCTGGAGAAAGATCAAAATGGCAGTGAGAGGAGTACAGGCAAAAAGGAAATCCATATACGAAATCAGAAATAAGGACCTGCCAAGAATGAGCATGCCTAACTTTGGCAGGACTCAGTCAAGTGACTCAGCTTATGTGTGAGGCTGTGACAGAACTGAAACACTGTGCCAGGTGGAACAGACCCAGACACCATTAGAGAAAGGTACATTGCTTAGGCAAGCATTTTATCAAACCACCAAGAAAGCCATTAAGGTATTGGATCTGCACTTACTGAACTAGCTGCAAAATGCAGTGCTATGTAAAAGACTGAAAAAACAGCTATAAAACCATGCTTGATCTAGCCTTACAGCACAGCTACTATTATTCCTACTTTTCTTTCTAATGATTGGGTGTTATCTGTCGGTGGAACAGCTTTTTGGTCGTCATTAGGTTAAGTTTACAGTTTGGACTGTCTGACTCGTTGTAAACGTGTAGAATGTTCATATTAAAAATCTGCAAGGATACTCTATATGGGGTGGGGTGGGGTGGGGGAAACTGTTGCAATGTGCAGATGTAAGCATGTTTTAAAAGGAGGCTAATTGCACTGTAAGGAACCTGACCACAGCTCAATCAGGATATCTGCATTCACCTGTCTCACAGATGTCTTATATTATTTTGCTTGTCTAAATCACAGAGTTTATCCCTGGTGTGTATTGCTAGCTATTTTCTATCATAGTTTGTGCATCAATTAGTTACGCTGAACAATAAATGCTGAATATAATTTTGCCATTTTTTTTGTTTGCCTGTCCTCACACACACACCAGAGCCCTTAATCATCTTACATTAGTTGCGATCTGCAAAATATATCAGTACATTTCAGTTCATTCCCTAATATGTGCATGAATAAGATGGAGTTGGTTCATGCCAGCCAAGTTATGTATTTACCTACAATTACCTATGATGACACGCATACCAAAGGAACAGAGTTCATTGCTTTTAACTGTGAATATATCACCTTCTCTCTGCTCTTATTTATATAAGTGCCATACTTGAAACATCTAACTCTGTACTTAGTTAAAAGGTTGTCTTGGGATACCAGCTGGAATAAAATGATTTTATACTCTCCTTTGTTCATTTTATGCTTTTTTTTAGTCATTGCAATGGTGTAAAAAGCAGCTAAAATCTCTATTGATAAATAAAGTACTCGCCTTTTTTTGTAAGCCAGAGAGGTTTGCTCTTTATTATTGTATACAACTGTAAAAACATACAGGGTCAAAATAATTGACTTACAACAATTATTCTTCAGGGTTTAAAGTGTCTCATTGGTATTCTAAACTCTAAGTGACAAAACCTAGGAAAACAGGACTATTCATTATGTCTGTTTTCCTCCTTAAGCAAGCTTTCTCTGCCTTTAAAGCCTGATCCAAAGCCCACTGACACAAACAGCCTTCTTTCTGCTGACACTAAGGGCAACGCAGCCGGCTGCCAAGGTCACATTGAGAAGAGCCAGAGTACATTTACCTATAAGTGAAACAACTGCAGCTTTCCATCAGGGAATCCAAATAGTAGCCTCAGCTTTTCTGCCTTACAGCTGATTCAAGAAATACACTGTTCATGTCCCGTCAACTTACTTGGTAAGCCACTGAGGCAGTCACAAATAAATATCTGTTAACAGCAAGCATTTTAATATAGGATAATAAGTTTTTCTTAAGGACCTTATTTAGTTCCCACTGAATTCAACAGAAAATAGCCCACTGGCAACAGTAGGAGTTGGATCAGGACTATAAAAACATACAAGTGCATTCCTAATTGAATATTATCTGCCCTTTAAAGACAAGGGCCAAAATGGTGCTGGAAAATTTGAGGATAGTTTATAATATAAGAAGGAGACAGGGGCTCAGAGTCACAAATGGCCTTTTGATTGTATTTTATTTCAAGCCTAAAAATGGATTTTATTGTATTTTGGCTTGGAGATAATGCATATAAATCTTTTCCTCTTGGCTTACAGTAAATACCTTAATGTTTCATTCTTGTGGTTTGCCAGCATTGTAATTTAAAAAAATGTCGATTAATTCTTAGATAGTGTATTCATTATCACTTTCATCTGTGTTTTTTTTTTCTTCCACTGTGAAACATAAAAAGACTTTGAGATGTGTCATGTTTTTAAAGATTTTTAAAGTAGTTTTCCTTATGTATAAAATGAACAGGTTTTCCAACTTGATTATAGAAATCTATAAAGATGGATTTCTCAAGTCATTCTCTGTGATATAAATGCACACTGATATCGCTAGTTGACTGCATGCTCACTGGAAAACTGCATGTTATTTTTAGAAGGACAACATGGCAGCTAAAATCTCCATCTGCAGTATAACAAGCTTCTGAAGATTATTATTTAACACACAAATCCAAGTCTGATTTTCATTTTGCAGAGTCCTGGGATGGTTTGCAAAATCTCCTTTTGAATAGATATTGAAGGGAAAAATGTTGTTTGACAGTCATAGGCATTGTTTTAATGTTGAAGACATGGGAGATTGTGTGCAAAGAGCTTGATCCAGTGCCAATTGAAGTTGAAGGAAAAAACTCATACTGAATTCACTGAGCTTTGCTTCAGGTTCAGCATAATTTCCTGTTAGGAATAAGCCCTAATGCAAGTTATTTCCAGTGGCTGCATAGCGGTATTTAGTCAAACTCTAGTGAAGGTGCATGCCTTGGTAGCTGTAAGGTTTTAATACCTTAGAAATCTTTAGATAAGACCAAGAAAGGATCTGTTTATAATAGTCAGTGCCAGTGACTCTGTCCATTCCATTATTTTATGCAGTTGCACATTTTGTACTACAGTAAGTTGGGATTCTTTAGAATTTTCCTAAGACAAATATATAAGGAAATGCAAATGTTAATTTATGCAACAGGATCAGTGATAAAGTAGGCAAAGACTCATATTTTGATCAACAGAAATGCCCTCCTCCTTATTTATGCTAAATAGAATAAGGCTTTTCATATTTTGGGAAAGAAATTAAATGGTGCCAAGAGATCAATTGTTATAACCTTCCTTTTGAATTGTTATTTTTCATTTCTCACCAACTACTTATTTGTCATGGAAAAGAGAAATATCACAATCACTTTTTTTGTCAATGTATCACACGAGAGTCATATGATTAATGCTAATGGATTGTTTGCATGAAAGCTGACTATTCATTTACAGAATAAATGCTTTAAAATTGTCACAGCAATGGAAAAGTGTGTTAAGTGAACAGAACTGAGTGAACATGAAGCTGACGGGCACATTACTGGCCACTTAGGTCTTGCTCCTGCCTTGATGAAATGAATTAGTCTTGCCATTGACATCTAGGAAGAATCAGACGTTAAATATGAAAATTGAGTTCATGTTTGTTTTATTCATTCTATACCCTGTTTTGTACTAGTGGACAGTATTGTATGTCATCATACGTGCAAACAAAAATTATGTTCACTAAGTTCTTATAGAAAACTGCAATAGAATTTAATACACTACTGGTTCCATGGAATTTTAAAATTTACATAAAATAATGATACTATTTCATTTTTACATAGGCTTGATCTTGTGCTTCTTTAACCTGTGTGAATTTCAAAAACTATTTACATAGGGGTTTAGAACCATTTCACTAGGTATATATACGTTGCAATGAGATTCTATAAAAAGATTTTTAAAAAATTAGGAATTTTTTTTTTATATAATGAAAACTAGCTACATTTTTACATGGGGAAGCTGAGTTGACTCTTCCCATAAATAGTTCCATTTTAGAGACCATTGACTTTGAATAAATATAAGGGTTTTCATCTTTCTTAAGGAAAATCTGAAGAACGACAAGATCAACTGAGATGAATGAATCACGGAAGTGGTGAGATGGATTTTAGTTTGTTTTACGCTAGAGAAGTCAGAAACACTGCTATGTAGAACCATAGGAAAAGATGTACCTGAAAGGTTAAATGTGAGGAAGAGTTATTTTCATGCCCATCTAAAAGAATACATTTCTTATAGGGCCAGAGGATGGACCAGACGAACATTGTCCTTGCATCCTTCTGGCTTTATTTTGTTTGAATATAAATGTTCCACCTTGCTCCTTCAGTGAAACAGGTTGGAGGCTTTTGTTTGGTGTACAAGTATAGAAATAGGAATAAAAAAATTAAGACTATGAGGAGAAAACAGGCATAGCTTTTCCTCATTTAGGGTCTGGTCTTATTCTTCATTAATTCAATTATGTGACTTTGTTTTCTGTGGGACCAAGTCAATTCCCAGCTGGGGGAAAACTCAGTTCCACTATTTCATGAGATTAACAGGAGAGATTACACTATTTCTGTATTGCACGCTCATCCCTGGACATTTTGGGATACTTCTCCCAGAAATTCTATTTTATTGTAAGCTTTCAGAAAACATAGTAGGTTAGTATCAGCTACTAACACCAGATTCTAAACCCCACCGTCCTCTTGATGAAACTCTGATAATATCTCTGTGAAGAAAAATTTCACTAGGAAGTGCTTCATATTATGTCTGTTAAAATGTACTAAAGAAGTCAATCAGGAGTCAGCAGCCCATGAAATAAGTGCAGATATGGAGAATTCCATAGCACTGCATTAATAATAAACCATACATATACATGTATATATATAAATAGCTAAATATATGCAAGATTGTTAAAAGAATTCTACCTAAATTATATTACTCTGTTACAGATTGAATTTCAGAGATGGATACAGAAGAAGTCACATATCCAGAGACAGTTAAAAACTGTGCAAGTAATGCGCAGGCATGTATCCTTACAACTATGTGCAGTGACCTGACCAGATATTTAACATGCAAAAAACCTAACAACTGCCCTTTTCCTTTCTGGAGGGATAGGCTGTACTAATTGCTTTAGCAAGTTTAGCTGAGCAGTTGTGTATCTGAATTATAGCTAAAGAGAGGTTTGCCTTTGTTGCATTAAAAGCTATCTGCTTTTTCCTAGTGGTGGCTGAAATACAGGATGAATCTTATCTCTAGCTTGTGGAAACCCACATATACAATGACTCTCTGATGTCTCAAAGTGAGAATCTCTCCTATATTCAACAGAATGTGAAAGTAAGGTAATTTTCTACTAATCTACCTCTTTTTGTTATGTGATGTGGCTAAAAAGGACAGAGAAAGGTTACCAGTACCTGAGGAATAATTAACACATCCTACAGTGATTAAGCAATTCTGGACTTTTAGTTTCCTTCATTGAAAACAACATTTGCTGAATATGATTTCTCTATAAATATATGTCATGGTACATAATTAAATGCAACACTCATTTTTTAAATATTTTG